AAATTCGTGCGATAGCTTTTAGAGACGGGATAAACAAGAGTCAGTATCCTTTCTTCCCAAGCAAGTAGTTACCATTGGGAGGAATTCCAGTGGGGAATGACCCCTTTCCTGGGTTGTACCCATTTGTGTAGTGTTTCATATAGCTAAAAAAGTTTTGATGAGCCTCTTTATCATATCGTTTGTCTTCCTGAAACGAGAGGATACACCTCATTTCGCGAATATAGGGAAGACATATAAACACTCCTTATCCCTGAGCCAGAGTAGGCGTGGCATTTAAACATGGCACGGAACTGGTTACTCGTGGAATATTCCAGTCTGGGACTACTGTCATCTTGTTCAGTGTGGAGAGAGACACGACAACAGCTGTGTCAAGATGGAAATATTCCACCAGAAGCATAGACACCTCCAGGTTAAGTTGACGGATGCACCCCCGCCTACCCGATCTCAGAGATCTCGAGTATAACTGCGTGCTGTCTCGCTTGTTTTTAGGGGGCTGGGTTTAGCGCGACGCCAGCACGTTCTGCACCTCTGAAAGCTAGCAAACGACTATAGTCGGTGCAGAAGGAGCTTGCACAGCGTCAAAATCAGCCCCCATCAAAACACGTATGTACGTTGGGAACTCCCCAGCGACGGGTTGATTTTTCTTGTTTCACGGACGCCATAAGGTAGAACGTCGTTTTTGCTCGTTGTTGGAAGAGAGAGGTCTTATTTGCCTCTGAGAGGGATTCTCCTCTCCCCTAATTGGTGGAGCCGCCAAAGTTCTTTACAGCCTACTATTTCTTGAAACTAGTTGTTGATTGCTTACGACCGCGCTCTTCTCACACTACAGCAAAATTTTGAGGAAAAACTAGAAAACTTTCGGGAAATTCCAGAACTAAAAGAAGTGATAGGAAGTTTGGAAAACCTAGGAAAGTGGCAGGCAGGATGGGGAGGATTGAGGGGTGTATCAGAGGAGGGAATCAGAAGATTCGACGAAAATTTTGCCCATAGGCAGGAGCTGCACTGGCCCCTATACACCTCTCAATCCGCAGCAAATAAGACCATACTTCATCCGAATGTGGACGAGGTTGCTCTTTCAGTGGAGTACGACCGTTCTGACCACTGTAATCAGGGTGAGAATTTCTTCGAATGGAAATATACCACGAAAGAAAAGAGGACACATGCCATGTTCAAAGCGTAGTTGCAGCCTCCCATCTTCGGGGCATGGAGTGTACAGGGGGGGGGGCAAAAAACGACATTTCGACCGTGTCATATATCAGTTAAGTTTTCGCAGCCTAGACAGCAGACGGGGATACGAGTACCAGGGCGGAAGATCCACAAGATGTTCCTCTATAAGCAGGAGCTGGCCCTCGCCCATCACCTTCATGTACACCAAAATATGAAGTCATCTCCAGTCACAGCCTGACTCCTGGCCTGGAGAAAACCTTTAAAATTCATGTCACCTCCAAACTGCTGTGAAACTTCTAGTGTGGAGTCACCCATGGCCTGGAGACCAGTACTCTTGATCTGGAAGACCTCCAACATTGAGCAACTCCGATAACTTCGCTACGGTCCAGGATATCATCTTCACCTCAGTCGCCAAGGCGCCAGTTGATATTGGGAACCGGACGTACCTGGAATGGAGAGACCTATATTTTCTTCATGGGCCCCGGGCTGAAGGTGAGCGCTGGCGGTTACATCGAGCAACTAAAGAAGAATATATTCTCCACATGTCGTCGCCCGTACCTTCTTGGAAACTTTGTACTGCTACAGGATTGAGTGACACTACATGAAATCAAAGGAGGTTGGGAAAACTCTTGCCTACTTGGAATGGAAGGGCGTTGAGTACTTGAAGAAGGAGGAATATCTAAGCAGGTCACCTGACCCAAACTCATTCAATTACCTGCTTCGGGCGGAGTTCAATAGGGTGGTCTGCAGGGGCGGAGAAATCAACGATCTCGCTGAACTCAGGCACCCACTCACGGTCGCGTGGGAGAATCTCTCGATGGCGCTCCTCCAGAAGGCTGTGGCGGAGTATCGTGGTAGTATTTAACATGCTCTTTGATATAGTGGTAATAATTTCCGATCAGAATTCAATGGTATGTAATTTATAACGCATCGAAGGTCAAGGGAGAAAAAAGTTTTTTTTCCTCCCCTCCCCCCCCCGTATTTTATGTTTACCAAAACTGCCCGTCCTACCTAGTATAAGCCTGATGCGGTGTCTTTGGATGTTGCAACATCCGTTTTTGATATGTATTTTGATATGCAATACCTGATGACTCTGCAGTATCTGCAGTATACTAAGGGTTACTGGAAAAGTGAGAGCACGCGAATCAAAATACACTCCATATCCCAGGGATGGGGTGGGCATGGCTGTCAACATTGACGTGGCACTTGTGTTGTGCTTAGGACTACCTCCCTACCTAGCGGTAAAATACGATCCCCCTCGTTCGATTTCTACAACGATGACGTGCCGTAATGAGCAAGCTATTGGGTCGCTGCAAAAGAAATGCAGGATTTTGGTCTTTTGTATTTAATACTTATTTTATTCCAATAAAATGTTGCTTTAATATGAAGAGTTATATATTATTCGAAAGCTCATCTAATGCTCTTTCTAAATGATACTTCAAGATTGGTTGTAATTCTTTTCATTATCATTTTTATAGACGTTTTATTGCAGATGTCAAAACGTGAATTTCGCACTATTTTTTTCTATGAGTTCAAGCTAGGCCGAAACGCTGCGAGACAGCTCGAAACATTAACGAAGTTTGGGGTCAAGGAAGTGTCAACGAATGTACGGTCCAACGTCCAGAACGTTCTGGCAACACCAGCCTTGAAGATGAACTTCATGTTTGGTGGTCTGCCGCCGGTCTCATCCATCACAGCTTCCTGAATCCTGGTGAAACAATTACGGCAGAGAAGTACTGTCAACAAATCGACGAAATGCATCAGAAGCATTAACGCATGTGCCCAAGGTTGGTCAATACCTATTCTTCTCCACGACAATGCCCGACCACACGTGTGCTCGAACACGATGCTCGACCCTCCAGAAGTTAAACGAATTGGGCTATGAAACTCTGCCTAATCCACCATACTCACCAGACCCGTCGCCCATCGATTACCACTTTTTCTAGCATCTGGACAACTATCTTGAAGAGAAATGCTTCAAAAACCAGGACGATGTCAAAAACGCCTTCAACGATTTCGTGGCCTCTAAAAAAAATTACAACCAATCTTGAAGTATCATTTAGAAAGAGCATTAGATAAGCTTTCGAATGATATATAACACTTGCATTTTATTGGAACAAAATAAGTATTAAATACAAAAAAAAACGAAATCCTGCATTTCTTTTGCGACGACTAATATCATAATAGTCTCGGAATTGAGAATCTTGGTCGAAAGGATTGGCACTGTGCTATTCAGAGGGACTTTTTCGTCTGAGGGATTCAAATTATTAGAAGGAGAGCTCGGCATACTGGGCAGCACATCATGTTGGGGATTAACGGGAGGGGGGGGGGTCGTAACTAGTTGCTGGGGGAGGAGGGGACGTACTTCGTCCGGGAAAAATTTTTTTGATGGTCAGTTTTTCTTGCAGGAACGCTGTAAAGGTGGGGGGAGGAGGTGATTCGTATTTGCCTTCTGGCCTTCTGAGAGAAGTTGTTGACTTCTTAGTTTTCTTTTTGTTATCCACCATATACAGCCCACCCCGATCCTGCTGGCCGCTCGACAGCAACACTTTTGGAAAAATTATAGTTTTCGGGAAAAAAACTGTTGGGAACTTGGGAAAATCCGATCAAGTGTTAGGTAGGATGAGGGAAGGGAGTCGCCGTCGCTTCATATATGCTATATTAGATAGCCATACGAAATTCGGCCGCTTCACATGAAAAAAAATGAGATCTCCCATAACCAGTTTCTTTCCTGAGCAATTAAATTGGCAATTAAATTAGTGATCCAACGATTAGCGGTTGAGCGTGGCAAACAAAATTTTTATTTCAACCAATATGTAACTGCTTGAAGTAGAGTGATCGAGCATTTTCGACAGCTACTTTTTTACATATAATAAACCGAACAGACCTATTTGTTGAGTATTTAGTCGAAAAGCTATGTCTCTCAGAAGTCCTTATAACGCTCCACGCGCTTGAAAGATTTCAAATTCGACCTAATAGACAAGCGTCGAAACTAATGCCCTACTGTGTCCAACTGAGAGTTTACTGAATCACCTTATTCAAGAACTTCCATTCCAAAGAATGGAGAATTGTTAGAGGTCATGGAATTGTTCCTTGCCCTCATCAAGAAGCACCCACACTTGATTTTAGACGGTTCGAAAGTTAGTGGGTAGGTTCCGCAGGCAGCGCTCCCAAGAGGGCACCCCATGCCACGCACACCACAAGGTCCGGATCCCTTTGAAAAAAAAATAGGGTTGGGGTATGGTGTGGGGGAGTCTGTGGGTCAGATGTGCTTCTGGGTGAGCGGAGTTAGAATCAAAACTCTGCAATTTAGTTCTTTAAGAGTCCATAGAGAGACCATGGAGAGGGGAAAAATCGGAGAAAAGATAGGAATTCACAAGAGGACGGGATGGGAGAGACATACCCACAAACTGGGTTGGGGTATGGTGTGGGGGAGTCTGTGGGTCAGATGTGCTTCTGGGTGAGCGGAGCTGGAATCAAAACCCTGCAATTTTTTAAAGAGAACGAAACGCTTGAACCAAGTTCAATCTGTCATCGGAAGCAGCGTTCCTTGTTCAAATGCAACACAAGTTTTAGCTTCTTCTGTAGTTTGAGAGCTGAGATAAAGGGCAAAAAGTTATTGTCGAAAACTTTTGTGCCGACCCGACTTTCCATCAATGGAATAAAAATTTAAAGAAACGAAGGAAAGGTAGAAAGGCAGTATGTTATCTTATGAGCAGGAAATGATCTACTGAAGAGTATATCGAACAGCGTATAACTCGTTAAAAAAGATTTTCACTTGAAAGAAAAAAAAACGCCATTACTTATGAGCCAACCCAAACTTTGTGTAAGGGATGTATGCACATCAATGCACTTGTGATATGCTCCAGTGGCATTTAGAATGTCTCGAATACCTCTGCGTTTTTGAATGGAAGTTCGAAAGACGTGTTCGGAAAACGGCTTGGTCAATTACGGAATATTTTACAGGCATGATGGAAGATGTTATTGATCGCCTTGTGAAGTCACCTAACAGCGAGCATGAACCTCTCACTAACTTCATTAATAATGAGTTCGTACCCAGCAATGATGTGATGCCGTCAGAGAATCCGGCAACCGGACAGGCATGGATTGAAATACCGGACTCTACTGCAGAAGATGTTCATCGTGCCGTAGAAGCTGCAAAGCGTGCCTTTCCCTCGTATGCACATTTAAAGCCTCCTTTTATCCCATTGCGGTTACGGTTGCATGGTTTGCTTCACATATTTCCAGATGGTCAACTACAAGTGTACAATACCGATCTGGTCTTCTGCTAAAACTTGCTGACATTATCGAGCAGAATGCTGATGGCCTTGCTGTGCTCGAATCCAGGGATCAGGGAAAACCCATCAAACTTGCCAAGTAGGCTATTAGGCTCCCTGGAATCGTCACATGAATCTTTTTGTTCAGGATGATCGACATTCCGCGGTGCGTTCATAATTTCCGATTTTTCGCTACTGCCATCTTACATCATACTTCACCGTAAGTTACTTCAAAGTATAGCGGCAGCAGTTGCGAGATATTTTCTTAAACAAACTAAATTTTATCACCTATTCTGCCGAAGGGTTCCTCACCTTACGTGCCGGCAAAGAACTATCGATTGCAATAAATTACTCTATTTGAACTACTCATTCTATAAAAAGTTTAAAGGCAGTTCTCTGTGACGATTAATCCCTAGACTATGCACTGAACGTCCTCTTAATGTTCTCTGTGCACGCACTGCGTGTGGACAGGTTACATTACAAGGATGTGCAAAATGGTCATGTTAGTATGACCCGCTCTGCAGCGGAGGGTACTGACCCTCCTAAACCATTTCCTGCTGGAGTTTTGCTTTCTCATATGGTTCGTTTTCTCGGCAGTTGTGGTAATAAGGAAGCGGTCTCAAGAGGCAGGCACGTTTGGTCACTATCTTTGTAGACTGGGCGAGGAATGGACTGCAGACGGGACGGCCTTTCCCACCAATGATGCTATTCCAAGTCCGAAGTAGATGGCGGGAAAGGAATTCTGGGCTGAACTCTCCATCACACGCCCTATCTTTTGAAGGGATACTGTCACACCTTTGATAACTGCACGCTATTACTGCTACAGTTCGCGTCGGATACTTTGATAATCCACTTCCATGTGGAGTTTCAGATCTTCCGTAATTGATGAGCCCGTTCGAGCTGTCAATTATGTGAGAAACGATCCTGTTGGAGTAGCAGGTCTGATCAGTCCATGGAACCTACCGCTATATCTGGTCAGCGTTTAGCAACCATTTGGAGTTGCAGCCGAATACTTCTTCACTACTCCACCGTAAATCACTGACTGTGAATGTTTAGCTATCTTTCAAGCTGGCCCCTGCATTGGGAACCGGCAACACCGTTGTGTGTAAACCAAGTGAACTCACAAGCGTAACAGCATGGGTTCTAATGCACGCATTTCGACAAGCTGGTAATGTTCCATTAAAAGGCGATTTTTATGATGGCCATCTCACGGTAGTTCAGGGTTTCCTCCTGGAGTGGTAAATTTGGTGATTGGAAAAGGTTCGCCTGCTGGTCAAGCACTCGTCGAACATCCTGACGTGAATTTGATAAGTTTTACTGGAAGTAAGTTTTGACAAGTGATAGCATAGAACTGACACAGAAAATTAAAATAAGATAATAAAATTGGATTAGCGCAGAAAAAGTTAAACAATTCAGCTTCATGCGTTCCACACATCCGTTCAATGTGAAAGCTCCTGGTTACGAGCTTACTGAGTACAAAACCTCAACGAATGTATCGGCATTGGCCAATTGCTTGAAAAAATTGCTTGCTTGTAAAATTTCTCCTTTACTACACACTATGTTTGTAACCAGCGCACTCGTAACTCTATCATTATTTCCAGTTCCTCATTCAAAGTGCCATGGTCAAGTGAAACCTGTTTGTGATTAGCGATCCTTTAGGTACTGTCACGGGCAAGAAATTAGCTGAGATTTGTGCACGGTTGAACAAAAAGGTATCCCTCGAAATGGGAGGAAAAAATGCAGCTATCATTTATCCTTCATGCAATCTTGGTGAGCATTTGCCAACTATTGCCAGGTGCGATAATTTCTTTATTTCATTAATTTTACTGTGATTTACTTGATTGCATCATTTCGAGTAGTAGTATTAGACCGTATGTGGCAGTGGAATTCTTCAAATCATTTTCAGGTCATGCTTCATCAATCAAGGAGAAATCTGCCTATGTTCAAGCAATATATTCGTCCACAAAGCGGTGTATAAAGACTTCGTAGCGCGATTAGTGGAAGAGGCTAAGAAGGTCTCCATATTTCTGTTGATTTTAATGGCAATGCGTTGTCAGTATTAACAGGTGAATACCGTGCAGACTTACTAGGCCCTAGCGCTCACTGGCACGTCCAATACGGTCAACGGCATCAATTTTGGGACAAAAAAACGTGCACGATGATTCTAATTACGGAAAGGAACTTTATCCCTTTGAGCTGCTTAAGCGTACACGACTGTTGCGACGTCTCTGCAGCTTATTGGCTGCCAAATGCTAGGGCGTGTCAGAGGGGGGGGGGGGTGGAGTGGGTAGCGCGATGCAAGCCCGTTTCTCATTAATTGTTGACGAGTACAAGCGATAGCAATTGGTGGCAAAGGCTGTCACGCGTTCTATCGTTTGCAGTGATTATGACTATAATGCAATTTTTTAAGTTCACAGTCGGTGATCCCGCTAAGGACGTCACGCTTGGTGCAATGAATTCGAAGGCTCATTTTGACAAGGTGATTATTTAACAAGATCATAGTCTTCTAGTCTTCTTTCTATAGCATGGTTGTTTTCATTCATGCAACTACCAACTACTGTTTGAAGCAAGTGCTGCATGTTTCCTGTTTCAGGTAAAATCATATATCTCGTTAGCTGAAAAGGAAGGTGGTACAGTGCACTGCGGTGGTGAAGTCAATATGGATGGCCATCTAAAGGAAGTCAGTTTTAAAGTGTTCAGCTGCTTCAACTGGATTCGAACAGTCACTGAAAGATGTTTACGTTCATTCAATATCTAAATGAGAAAACCGAAATTTGGAGAGATTTTCGCAGTCTGAGTTAAGGGATACTATATCGCTCCAACAGTCATAACCGATGTTGGAGACTCGTCACGATGTATGCAGGAGGAGATTTTTGGTCCAGTTGTTTGTATCACTGAGTTTGAGTCTACTGAGGTATTTTATTGTGTACATTTTGGAGCGATCCTAATGGAACCTCGAAGAGGTCCTGTGATGAGAGTGACTTTTGAGGAGGTCCTATCCCGTGCCAACGCTACAACCTATGGACTATCTGCAACTGTATGGAGTGAAAACAACAAGGAACTCATTAATACCGCACATGGTCTGAGAGTAGGCACAGTGTGGTGTAATGCATGGCTGGTTTGTTGGAATAGATCAATTATAAATTTGTTTTTTGTTATCTCACACGTGTAACCTTGTAAACTGAGGCGTTTCTAGGGGCTGGGTATGGCGCGGTGTCAGCCTGTTCTCCATCAGTCGTGGAAGCTGGCAGGAGACCACAATTGGTGGAAAACAGGCTGGCGCTGCGCCAAAGTCAGCTCCATGAAACGGCTCAGTTCGCAGCAAACAAACTGAGCCCTCAATGCGCAGTTCGCGTTATGAAGCTATACCTTCTCATATTTTGACTTGTTTGTGTTGTGATTCACTTATGGCTGCGTTCATACTTTGCGGCAAGGTCCACCAGCGTTTCGAGCGACCACTACGTACAGAGTATCCGGTAGCGTCAGCGACTAGGGAAGTATAGATATTGATCAGCGTCTACCAGCGAGCGGGAGTAAAGAGTATAGGGAAGTAGGAGGGAAGCAAACTGCTGGACTAGGCGTCGTGAAATTGCGGTGTGTGCAACTGCACCCGCACAACTGCTAAAACACGCATTATGCAGTTGAATGTAGTGTAGTGTACTGTAGTGTAGTATAGCTGTTACTCTGGTGGACGCTTGCACTGACTGGGGCGCTGACAGACGCCAGATCGATATCTATACTTTCCTAGTCGCTACGCTGCCAGACACTCGGAACGCTAGTGGACGCTGGTGGACGTTGACGCAAAGCATGAATGCCTAATCCATATACAGTTCATGGCTGGAGTGCGTAGAATTGCAGTAAGCATTCGTGTTCGAATTGACTGTTAACTAAGTAATCAATTTGTTTGGTAAATGGGCACAAAGCATGCCCTAAAAGTCAACAGAAGCAGAAGTACGGATTAGTCATTAGCAACTTAAAGAGAAATAGATATTGTGGGTGGTGTTTACGACAGAGTCCATGGAGTTTTGGTGGGCGGGACAACTAGGGAGGCGTCAAAACTGGCAATTGTGAGGGGCGCGGCGCCTTCGCTGCTTACTGTAAAGCAGCGAAGGCGCCGCGCCCCTCACAATTGCCAGTTGGGATAAACTAAACTGGGGATAAACTTGGAGATGGGTCAGTCTACTTGAACAAGGAAGAACGCCTATGTGGTTGACTGCGGGGAATGCTTTTCAAAGAAGCCCATATCATGCAAGTGGTATTCAATAGGGACTGAACACTAATACACTGAGTAGTTGCTGAGGTCCAACTTGTGCTAAATATTGTAAAATAATTACTGAGATACGTTATTCTCCACAAACTTCATGCAGCCATTTCAGGTACGCGACCTGAACATGCCTTTTGGAGGAACGAAAGAATCGGGTATGGGCCGAGAAGGAGCTGTTGACTCACTGCACTTTTTCACTGAGCAAAAAACCGTCTGCATTAGGCTGTAGCAACACATCAAATCAGGACAGACAGGGTCATAATTTTTACTGGAAAAGAATGCCAATGTAACTATGCAAAATAAATTCAAGCGAGTTTTTTGTGTATTGAATGGTACGGTATGTGATTCACCCTTGTCAAACCCAGTCGAAAGACACAATCGATGGTTTCGGGATTCAAATACGAATAAATGATGGATAGATGACTCGAGAGTGGAAAAAGAGTAGACAAACCGTCGAAGATTCATCTCTGAATAAGGTCACCAGGGCAAAGCATTAGTCAAATCATCCCCGACGTGGGAGTCGTTTTTGACCCTCTATCAGCGGTGAGAGGTGCTTGTGCAGAGGCCAGTGATGAACGAGGCAGAGGCGAATCTCTAGGGATGGAGGTGGAGTCGGAGCTGATGTTGTAGAAGACTCAAATCTACGACAGAACGAATATATTCCTTCCAAACAAAACAGCTCTGAAAAAGATCTCCTTTCAAACAAAACTTCTCTGAAAAAGACCACTATTTTGCCACAAAAAACCTATCCATTACTTTTGATATTTCAAGGTCTCCTTCGAGTAGCATATCATTCAGCAGAATGCTTGCCACTTTGACAGTACAGGATTCATAGAAAGATAATATGGTGAAAATAAAACTTATATAACTGTAGACTACTCAATATGCTGTGCCCAGCGGTTCCTGCGACGGCGCGGGACTAACGCTAGGGAGAAGAAGGAGACCCAATATGCTATGTCGTGACTGGAAGGTACAGCTGCTACCATCGCCATTCGACGGGGTGGTGAAAGTAGGCTTGGTTGAGCGCACGCGGCTCCTTCTACCACCTGTACAACTCAACCCGAACACCTTGGTAGAAAACGCAGCCATGTGGGCTCATTCCAAGCTTCCAGACATCGCCCCTTCGGACTGCGACGACATCAGCCACACTCCCTGCTGACCAACATTCCGCTTACTTCATACAGCGCAATACACCCCCATCGTTGGGGAACTCCCATAGAAGTTGTACCTTGGCTCCCCAGGTAAGGGCACACCCAACTAAAAGGTAAAGGCAGTTTTGACCAAAGACTCGAGTGTTAGGATGTAATCGGTAGATGATAAAAGTGGACTCTTTATCAACCATGGGCCCCAGCAAACGCCAGTGACTCACTAGGGATTAATTCCAAACCAAAGTGAGAGCAAACAGCACTTTAACTAGCTCTAAGACTTCGTTATTTGCCTGTGGCCATAGTGGCCATAGATGCAAATGAGCATATTTAACAAGAATACCTTAAAGGCAGTTAACACGATAATTTGATACTCAGCCGAAAATGCTAGTGGGGCACTGTCTAGTGGGAAAAATGGTGAAAAAATGAACTGAAACGCTGAAAAACTGCGAGGAAAAACCTTCGTTCTTGAAAAGCAATTTCGGACAAGTTTCTGTAGGCGTATTGCAAATGACCGCTCCGGCAGGTACAGCTGCATGTATGTACTCGTATATTCATTCAGACAAGAAGCTAATTTTGGTATTACCGCCACGGTACCGTTACCCAAAGCGGCGCCCTTTAAATTGGAAGTCTGTCGTACGCGCGTTAAAAACATCAGCACGTACATTGAAACTATGCCGATATTTCCTTTTGTAAGTGGAAGAAAAAGGATGTGTATTTGGGACGTCGTTATGAGGATTTCGATGTGAGGATAAGCCTGATCTATCTTTCTATTACCATTGCTTCGAGCACTTTGACGGTGCTGCACGCTTGATGCTAATCAATGTGGGATAGAGGCGGCTTTCAAAGGCCGCTGTAGTAAACAATAAATTGATGTGGTAAGGTCGACTTATTAGCCTCATCGCCCTGAAAGGTGGAATAGGTGGTACTGCATGTAGTTGGTCGCATTCACAACTACGACTTTTCAACCTGGCAATAATTTTTTATTCCAAAACTTAGTTACAAATTATGAAATCATCCTCCGAAGTAAACAAACATTACTGTGGAAATTATAGAGCCAAACTGAGACAGGAACTGCTGGACACAGTTCCTCTATAACACCGCCAAGATTTGACGGCAGGGCACATCGTTGGTTGGGGAATCCCCAACAGGGGGAGGGGTCGTATTTGGCCGCCAGGAGAGGGGGGGGGTCGTAATGAGTGCGGTAGGCAGTAACGAGCGTCAGTGTGCTGAGCCCTGTGCAGCGAAGCTTGCTTTGTAGAGAACTAGGATATGTAAAAAATAGTACAAAACTTTCGTTCATCAAACTAATCTGAAATAACTGGAAATATAAAAAGTCGACATCATCTCGTAAGTGACTAAACAGTACAACTCATACTCTGGTTCGCTGCGGATGATGGGGCGTGTCCGCGATCGCGCTTGGCGCTGAGCCAACCTGCTTTCTTTCGACAAACGACAGAACTACCACATCGTTCGTATCAAACGTTTTCCAGCAGTTGGTCTCCTTTATCGGAATCAGCAATTGGCGGAGCACGAATCTGGCAGCGTCGACAGGGACATGTTCCATCATACGCAACGGAAAACACTGTAATCAAGTGCGCAGGCTCGCCATGGACCTTCCTGAATCCTGTAGACACATTTGCTAGCGTGGACAGACATTACGCTCAAATTGCACAATCCCTCACGGGCCTCAATGCGCGGCGCATTCAAAGTTAGCATGATTGGCGCTAACAAACCATATCCTGCTCCTGCTCCACCACAGGATACGTTCTACATGTATTTCTGGCTATTCGAACACGCTCGCTTGAAACCGTACACAGAGAACGGACTTTCGAACAGTTCGGAGTATTCCCCAAATAATTCCCAACGCAATTATCTCATGACTCCCGGGAGCTTCAAAAAACCTTTAAGTAGTTTTTGGAAAGAGGAAATCTTTTAGAACTCGACAGTAGTTTCAGATTCCCAAGTTTAGGTTCAAGGGAAACATCTTGGTTCAAACCTGTAAAACTCGCGCTGCAAACTTTCCAAAAAAAACTCCCCAAAAGCTCCCCAACGCAAATTTTCTCTATGAATTTGGCGACCTAAACTGCTACTGCCAGTCACGATCCTGACCTAAAGTTTTTTTTTCAGCACTAATAACCAAGTCGTGCTTATATAGGATTACCTCTTCAATCTAACAACCGGTCTGAAGCGAACTGTGTCCGAACTGTAGTTGCACCAGAACTGAGTCCGAACATCTCAGGGCCCTTGTCACCGAAAAGCCTCTCCTCTCCTTCCTTTTATCTTCCTCCCTCCTTTTCCTTCCTTCCTTCTCTGATCCCTCCTTCTTTACCTTCTCCCCTCAACAAGTGGACTGGTAGATGCCTCGTGACAATAACCCTGGACCCTCGCAGCGAGAGCACGTCTGGTTGACAACAGCCCCGTAACCGAGTCCGAACTTTAGTTGCACCAAACTGACGCCAAATGGTACCATCACGAAAAATGTCACGCCAGTGATCAGATCACTACTCTTTACGCCTAGTTTTGTAGCGGCGTCTTTCGATTCTGCAACACTACGCATGCAGTGAAATTACATGGTATAAGTTGTGAACGCACTTGCACTGTAAAATAATTCTCTGGTCTGTAGTAAGTAAAGTAATTCGGCTCTTTATATTCATGTATTTATTCTCCAAATGCAAATACATAAAGAAGCGTTGCGAGCGGTATGAATTCCCTTACGCTGCGCATATGCACAGCCTCTATATCGAGAAAAAGAATGCATAAGCGAAATGGGCATTAAATTCCCGTTCATCCTCGACCGCTGCAGTCTATGAAGCATTTCCGCACAATTCCCGTAGTGGTACCGGCGTAAAGCTCGGTGTTATACGTACGTCCACTGCGGAGTTACAATCAACTGAGCGCCACTTTGGGTTACGGTACCGCGGCGGTAATACTGAATTTAGCTTCTTGTTCCATTCAGCACCGCAGCCGCTTCATACTAATCCCTTCGCTTTATGTTTTACTCAGCAAATGAAGCAAAACGAGCATCTAGTGAGGTCGTCCATTTGTGGGCGGGCGCGCGCGGCGGGCGTTTGGGTCGGTATGTTGTAGCTCGATAGAGCCCTTCTAAGTGTGCCTTCCGCAGGGAAGGCGCCACGCAGCACCTGCTTAGGGTCGCGGAATCCTGTCCTGCCAATCAATTCTACTCTTCTTACTTAGTTAGAGATTTATCGTGCCAGCTGCCTTTAAGACCTAAGTGAGTATTTGGCTGTGCCAGCGTTTCCCTTCATCCTGCGTGTTGAGAATCACTTGTAGATTAGTAAGTTCAACTTCCGTCTTAGAAGAAAGTTACTATTTAACCTGGATTTCATTTCCAGGGCACCTGGAGTGTTCTCATTGCGTCATACGAAGTTTCGCTTTGACCTTAGGTGAGAATTGAACCAAGCGTTTCAGAGAGGCCATCAGTTTCAATGGTTCCGCGCTCGCGCTCCAAGTGCACTCTGCGTTCCAAGCTGTAATTCCTGTCTATGTGACAAGGGAATCATAATTCGCCGCGCTGGTGGGCATCGCGTGCGACGTCGCGCGGCAAATGACGTTGGTTCCAGGTGGTGGATGGCGACAACAGGCAATTCAGAACCGAAAATAGTCATGAGTGTTTGCGTTGAAGGGATCTGCATAAAGGGTGCTCCAATCGGCACGTTACATGACGTTACAGGCAGTTGACATGATAAATCGCTACAGGTGTAGAATTTGTACAACTGGGTTAACTGAATTCCGTGACCTCGGACAGGCGCGCTGTGAAAGCCTTTTCCAAGGAGGTACCTCTATAACGCTCTTTGAGCAACAACTTTACCGTCCCAAACGCTTCCTTGCCGCCGCCCACAAAAGGACGACCGTTTCTGACGCTCGTATTCATTCATTTACTGAGCAAATTATAAAAGCAAAGGGATTGCTAATGAAGCGGGCGGTGATGCTGCATGCATATATGGGTTACACATATGCAGCCGTACTTCGGTAGCGGGTGATTGGCAAGGGTGTGTAGCGGGAAACTGGTCTTGAAATCGATTTGCAAGTCACCTGAGAACGAAGGCTTTCTTCCGCCCGG